CCGTCCGATCCCCGCCGATTCCCAGAGCGCGTCTGACTGTCAGCACCGTGACGCTACTACTACCACGGTTAACATCCTTCTGATCCGTTCGAGATCGATGGTTATCGCGGATGTTCCACCGTTTCTCCAATGTCCTCAAGTGTCTCCGTCCGTATTTTTTGTCACAGGAATGTCAGATGCGCCCTCGCCGGCGACCAACGCTGGACTGATTCTCATTTGGCTGCAGCGCCGCGCGGTATCGCCGCCTCGGCTCTCTTTGGCGCTAGCGCCCTGTGTAGCCCACCGCCACCGATGCCTTTCGTCTCTCTTCAACCGATACCGATCCTCTCGCTTGCGTGTTCCCTCTTTCTTCGATCAGTGCCACTCTCTCTCTTCCTTTCCCTTTCCTCTCGCCATCGTTCTCGTTCACTCCCGTACGGCCCACATTCGCCCATCGTGGGGTGGCATGGTATACCATGCGGTACAACCCCCTTCCGCCGTTCTCTCGTCAGGGTTTCCCTCTTCGTCCCCCTGCTATAGTGCATGCCAACATCGCCGGAGAAGAGAGAATCGTTACTATGGCGAGATCAATATGATAGGACGGCGCATGCCTCGGTATCCTTATACTTGAACCCTTCGCACTCATCTCACTCGCTCCGCTTCCAACCGCGCGCTACTCGTCCTCCTCTTCGCTCGTCTTTCTCCTTTTCCATCCTTTGGCTTTCCCCTCTAACCGGACCGCAACTCTCGCACACTCCGTCGTCTCGTCTCTTTCCCTCCCCACACGATCTCCACCAAGTAGAGGAGAACGTAGTGTGCCAGACCGTAGGTGAGCGCGGCGTTGACTTAAGTCGCTTCAGTCAACAGAGAACCGTATGCGGGAGAATACCGTCTCCTCTCTGAGTCCTCTTAACGTCCCGATGCTCCGATTTCTGCTTTGTGCCTATCTCCGTTCCGAGTCTACGTTTTGACTCCTTTCTTCGTGCGTGAATCATCGCTTTTTCTCATACGAGCCAAGAAAGAGCAGCGACGAGATCCAGAAATCATTCCATCAAACCTAGCCCTTCCATCCGTCTTCCGTTAGCGATCTTGATCCTTGAGATTCGCCACTGGTTCATCCTATCTACTACCACCGCTGCTGTTGCCGTTACTGTTGCTACTGCTGCTGCTGCTGCTGCTCTCTATACCATATCTCTTGTATCGAAATCGTTCCGCGAAACTTGCTGATTGATCGACCGAATTAAATTTCGGTTTCGCTGCTTTGTATTAGGTTTACAGCTTTATTTTTTAGATCGCGGGAGCTGGCTAAAGGTTTTCGTATTTATGTCGTAGGATGCCTGGAGATTGTTATTAACCCTCGTTCTAGAATAGTGATTGTCGTCATTTTAAAAACCTGTTGTAGTTGGCAAGTACAAGACTTTGGAACTAGTTACTTAATTACAGAATATTCCACCGTAATTTCTATAGTATGTTTTACGTCATAAAGACTATCGATAACACGTACCATGTAAGATATAAAATATACAAATTAAAATGAAATACTTTAAAACTAAATATAAGCAAACTTAAAATTAACCTTCGTTTTCTATAATCCAATTTATAATACCAACCGAGAATTACAATCAATTTAGTAATTATTTACATACAAAATTGTAAAATGCTACTTTTCAGTTAAAAATTTTCCTCGTTCGATAATACTAGTTATTTCTTCGAGAATCTTTATTGAAAATGTAAAATAATTTTAATATGATATTACCACCGAATGCAAATTCACAGTAATATTTAGCGACTTCCACGTGCCACATTTTAATTGTAATATGTAGACATACATATTATATATTTATGAAAAGATGAGAGAAGTAAAAATTAGCGCACTTTGTTCGATTAAAGAAAGACACAATTTTTCTTCGAAAGGTTCGCTTTGAAAAGATTCGCGCTATAAAGGAGACCGTCGCGTCTGTGCGGCAAATTGCGGCATTTTTGTTATTAATTTTTCAAGCTTTACCATGCTCCAATTTAGTTTCGAGCCACTTTCCTCTCGACCGGACATATTTTATTCTGTCAATGTTCGAAGGTGCTTCGTATTATTCAATTATTCGTAATGCTTAAATCAATCGGAATTCTTTCAACTAATATCATTGAAATTGCTTAACGTTACAATATTTATACCATAACATTTTTATAAGTAATCTGCCGGCCATTTTAATAATACTTACCTTTACTTAGCTGCCTTACTTTTGCATATCTTTCCACTCTTACAATCGCAATACCTTCGTTACTTCCGCTCATACCACGATGCTCCTGTTTTTATAATCTTCTTATTTTTATTCTCGTACTTGTTATTCCAAGCATAATCAGCATATCTTAATTAAATCCGGCCATGTTATCGCTAACGCAAATCCACTACTTACATTTAGCTGGAACTTCGATATTTCCACGAAACCCGGTTCGAAGTCTGTTAAGTGAACTTTGTAAACGCAAGCCCTCGATCTCTGCCTCATTTTATATCACATTTTTACCATTCGTTAGCCGCAAACCGGCATACTTGATTCCATTGTTCCCATTACTGATGCGCTCGCGAGTCAGCCTCGAAAGAATCAGCGGCTCCAGAACCGCTTTGTGGTTAACAGCTTCCGAGTGGCATGCCTAGCACTTGCCGATACTCCTTAACGCTACGCTGCTCAAACTCCCTTTTGTTCCTTTCCTCTGTCGATCTTTCTACTTCGTTCTACGATTCGTACACGAGTGCAACTACGTGAGCCTAGTGACCTATGTTCTTCACAACAGGGATGACGCTCGATGGACGTGGTTACGTGGGAAATTGAGCATCAATCAACCGAAAGGCAATGATCTCTCACGTACGGAAAATTCTGCCAATGTTTCATTCGCCAGAGCTAATCTCGCCATGAAATTAAAATCGAATGTCTTCGTCTTCCAATGATTTTCATTCGATACAATTCTTTCCCGTATGATTAGGTGGAAAGTAATTCTTCGAAAATATTTCTTCAATATTATACAGGGTGGTTGGTAACTGGTGATACAAGCGGAAAGGGGGTGATTCTACGCGAAAAAAGAAGTTGAAAATATAGAATAAAAGTTTTTCGTTTGAGACTTTGTTTTCGAGAAAATCGACTTTGAATTTTCGCTCGGTACGCGTGCACTTTATCACGTCTCGTTATAACGGATCTCACTGTAGATCGTTGTCTCGATGGAAAAATTAAAAAAAAATCTTTTTTTAATTTTTATTCTCTATTTTCGACTACTTTTTTCGCGTAGAATCACCCCCTTTCCGCTTGTACCATCAGTTACCAACCACCCTGTATATTATTCAATTTCTTCAGTATTATATTTCTTCATACTAGAAAGTATTAAAAAGTATTTAGAAAGACGATGTATTCTAATAAAAATATTGCTGTAATTCTCGGATTTCAACATTTCTTTTTCAGTTGGATCATTTTCGTTCGAGGCTTATCAGTAACATACTCTAAAGTTGTCTACAACTGTTTCTTCGGATTAATCGAATAAATATATTTATCGTTACCGTTAGTTTTCGAAATGTGTTTTTCAAGGATTATTCGTGTTCTCGAATATCAGAAAGCAGAAGGTAAAAAAACAGGACTTTCTGACTGACCTAACACGGTATGTTTCTGAATACATCTCGAATAGAGTATCCTCCTTTTATTGTTCGGATAAAATTTGTTCTATTTTTTCCTGCCGATGAAAAATGTGGAGATGGTTTCGTTTTGTTTTAATGCGCGGCTTGAGCCCTCATTGTTCGCTAACGTTCAGATGTTGCGTCAATACGTGTTTTACGTGGATTTTGAAATTTGCACGAAATATCGATGCGTGCAGCGTACCAAGTTTTTAAGAGAAAGAACATCGTTTTATATCTAAGAAATGGTAGCATAGCTGTGGATCTTTCTTATTCGTTAAAGCTACTTATTCCAACTTTGCTAAATTATACGCGCGCCAGATCCGATAAAATTTTACTAACAATTATACACGTAGATGTATAGAATCTGGTTGAAACGTTGACAGTTGAGAACGTCTGGCAATCGACAATCCTCGTCACTGATATTATTCGTTCATCGTGTAGAACATAAATGTCGTAACGTTTAACTGTAAGCGTTAATAGATATTAATTACGAGATTATTTCATCGTGTGTTACCTTTTCATCGTATTCAGTGATTTACAAGAACGACGAATACCTCTGTTCTCTAAAATTTGTTCTCTGTTTATCCAAAATTAATCATACGATGAAAGACATTGTATGTATTTTCTTTCGGTATGCCTTTCTTTGGTTTACATCGTAATTGATAACGCTAGTGGAATGTTACTTTACCTCATGTCGTGCCACATTATTAAACGAATAAATGTTTGTTTCTTCTGGGGGGAGTCGCACGCTATGGACGATTGTTACCGGAATATTCTCGATATTATCGATTACCCGATACTACCAGCGTCTTCATGCTTGAGACGTTCGAACGGCGTCGTAACAGCACCACAACAGAACGCTAATTAACCTGAATACTGACAGGAGATCGAGGGATGCAAACTAGCGAGCACGGATTTTCCTAATAATCCCCGATCCGAATTGTTTAAACAGAAGATTGAAATTTTC